AATCAGCAAAATAATTCCAAATACTTAGAACTTCTTTTTAGCTTCCAAATTGCACTTTTGACTTAAAACTTTCAACAATGAAATAACGTTATACAATATAAATAAACGCTGGAAGTCCGAGACGTTTCTAGATTAAGGTAAAGAACCAATAACAGAATAAAGTTTGAAATACGAAACACTGGGAAATAGATTTGGCCCCTGAAGTATAATAAACTTATTTGCACAGGGACAATTTTATTATTAACAGTAACAATACCTCCTCAACATTTCTACTGATATTGTGTTTTCAAAAAGCAATACATTTTTACGATTCGTTTTATTGTTCCGATGTATTGATTTTCAGTTATTTATTCTGTTAAGTTCCGACAGGCTTCCAGTATAAAAATTCGGAACCAGGTGCAGAATTTGATGTGAAAGAGTATGCGGAACTTCTGTAATTGCGGAAGCAAAGGCAAAGGCCTGTTGCAACAATATAGAACAACCCACTTGAAAAACTCCCGGGGGGTAATTGTCCAAATGGAAATTTGTTGAAGATTCTGTATTTCAAATCTATACGTTGCTTAAAGGGGACAGAAACGAGATTAAGAAAAGACCTTGTCTATCTCAATCGGGCTTAGGACAGCAAAGCCCTATCGAAGTATTCTGTTTGGGGAGGGGGGCGCAACCGATTAACCAACTGTTGTAATTTAATTTTCCATCTAATGATTTACACATTCTCACGCAAAGATATGCATTTATAAATAAAAAATAACTATTAAACATTAATTTTAAATCAACTTAATTTCTCTCCACTACAGATTACTTCAAGTTAATGAAAAAAATTTTTTGTTGCTGCTATCACACCCTCACCGGGAATCGAACCCTAAAGTAACTTTTACCCTAACTTGAATATAGCTCTCCGTATCGCGGCTTGCACTCCGGTCAAATTATTCTGTTTAAAACATCTAAACAGTTATCAGAGGTCTTCATTGCCTCAAGGAATACTTAACTCTTTGAACCTTTTGTTGGAAGAGACTGAGATAATTAACAGCATAAATTATGAGGATGTTATGGATTATTTCACCAATAAAAAGTTACATAAGAAGTATATACAGTATTCTTGTTTCATTTTATACTTTATAGTGCTCAAATAAATATTTTAAGCCAGAGTCTCATATCTAAAAGGTTTAAATCATAAAGAGTTAACAATGTTTCATAAAATTTTGGGAATTCTACAAAAAAATATCCAAACCCAACTCAAAAAATTAATTGTAACATTCATTATTTCTGTTTTTGTCCGTGTAAACATTCCTGGATTATTAATTCATTGTGTACGTTAGGTTAGGGTACGTTAGGTTAGGTTAGGTTAGCATAGATTGCGCTGGATTGAGATGGGTTGGATTATATTATGTTTGATCATGTTAGATTGGGTTTATGAGGAAGGGAAAGTACGGCAAGGTGGCATGGCGCAAGTTTGACCGGGTTAAGTTAGGTTAGGTTAGGTTAGGTTAGGTTAGGTTAGCATAGATTGCGCTGGATTGACTTGGGTTGGATTGTATTATGTTTGATCATGTTAGATTGGTTTGGTAAGGTAGGGAAAGTACGGCAAGGTGGTATGGCGCATGTTTGACCGGGTTAGGTTAGGTTTATACTTTTTCGATTTAGATAATTTACAAGCAATAACTTTATTGTTTCCATTTCGGGTTTCTTCCCAAGTGGGACCTAACCTATCTTGAAAAACCTCCCCCATCTGCGATAAAACATTGGTATTCGTTTATAAAAAGCTTATTACCCTATCGGCTCTGATTTCTTCAAACGATTTTATTATCAATATTAACTATATAGAAGTGGAATAGTTTATAAAAAAGAGTTAAAGGTGTTAATTTATAAAACTTTAGGAAACATTTTGATCTGTTTTATTAGGTAAATTAGCAATTTTTTTATTGTCTATTAAAGTTAAATTTGGCATAGGAAAAAATTTATGAAAAAGGTTTAGTCTTGTTTAAATAGATATATATATCCAAAAATAGCTCTATTTGCATACGTACAAAAATATTTCCAGCTAAATCTTCATTCATGTTATAGTTCTTAATGTTTTTAAAAGCAAATTCATAGCGAATTAATAATTTTTGTTATAACATGTGATGCCTGGTCATGAGTGAGTTTTAATAGATATTCAAAAAAGAATAAAATTTAAAAATATTTATTTTCTGCTATTTTGGAAAATAACCTAGTAAAATCAATAGTTTGAAAGTTTTAAAAATTTATTTGTGAAATATGCATTTCCACAAAGTAACGGTAAAAATAATTAACGAATTTTAACCAACGTAACCTTCGATGGACTGTGTAACTTTAACTTTTCTTATTATTAAACCTTTTTACAAATCGTCGTTAATGAAATGATAACATAATACGATCAGTTTTTATTATTCCGATCATATAATGTAACTTGTACCTTGCACCACTCGCTAACTATTTACCTAAAAAATTTAAACGATGTTGACAATATTTGTAACCGACATGTGAAAAAGTGTGTTTATATTGGATTGTAAATATAAATTGTGAAGTCTTGCCTGGATACTGTGGTTTCCTGTATTTTGTTCTGAATAACCATAGTATCTTCTCATCATCTTTAAGTTTATTTTCTTTCACCGCTACTTTTCAATCTATACAGCGAAGACGCAATCAACACGCAAGACAGTACAACTGCAAGGATAGATATACAGAGGCAAAAGATTACTATGCTTAGATTTGCAAATGATATAGTAGTATTAGCATCTAGCAAGGAGTTATTCCATATTCCCTTCTTTTATCTACAACCTTTAGCTCCACCTTCATAACTTTCCTAAATTATTCAAATTCTAAATCAACCTTCATCTACTTTACTCTTCTTCAGCTCTAACAGTGTCAAATAAATATTTGTTTCTTAACCAGATTTTATTATTATAATATTGAACACGCCAAGAACCAAAAATGGATTAAAACAATATTGTCAGAAGGGACTGCATCTGATAAAACTGCTGCTTCTACTGTATCAATACAAGATGATCTCTTGCACAACTTAGAAAATATAAGAAAAGAATGCAACAAACTAATAGGTATAGGTTGCTATTAATAAAGTGCTATAGTATTTACATAGAATTGTTTTGCAGAAGTTTTATCAGAGCTCTTTTTAAATAACCTTCTTTATCCCGGTAGAAAACTAAGACAATTTCAAGAAAAGTCTGTTAAAGAAATGCTGTTATTAGAAAAAAGTATCTTTGTTAGTGGTATTTTGGAGATCATTTGAAAAAAGCGTATACAACTTATGCAATGTCTCTGAATAAAATTGCTCATGANCGCATTCCCATTAAAAGAAATTAAATGATCTTTTAATTATCTTGATGGTTACCAATTGTATGTCCTTTTGAAAACATTTTGTTTTGTCAATAAAGGTATTTGGGATATTTCGTTGTTCTTTCAATTCAATTTTAATTTTTCGATTACAAAATTTACAATATGTATTCCCATTTAAAAAAAAGTGATTTGACCTGCAAATGACATTGAAGGTTAATATCAACGTCACATTAAAGGTGACCAGCTGATTTTACCTTCGAAAGCACACACCTTTTGTCTAACACTTCTTCTAAAATATAAGATGTAATCAGAATAAGTATATTATTGTCTCAAGATACATAACTCGCCTTGTATTAATTGGTTGACTGGTGGATATTTATAAAAATACAAAAACATGTTAGTAATATTATCTATAAAAGAAATTATAAGCGCCGTCAGCACAGGGCAAAGTGGTATTACCTAGTTAGTATCAGCAATTTTTTATGCTGAAGGGTACGATATATTGCATATTTGTTTACAAACAATCCCTTTAAACTTTAATCATTGATTATTATACATCTATTAAAAAACCATAATGGCCGACATCAGTGACAATGCGACAACAATTGAAAAAGAATGATGGCCGACAACTGCAACAATTAGAAAAGAATGATGGCCGACACTACGTCATAGTGGAGCAATAAAAATGGCCGCGGGCAGGGGGAAGAACTAGTGGTGAATAAAGAATATGTTGTTACACTTCTTGCCATATTCAATACTATATAGCCGTATAATTTCAATCAATGTAAAAATATCTTTTCAGTACGAGGAGTAGATATTAATTTTCGACCACAATGTCTAACGTTTACTAAAAAAGCATTTTTGGCAACATTATTCAAGAAAATTCCGTATGCATATGACCAAAAATACAAAAATTAGAACTCGATTCGTTTCATAAATTAATTAGAAAATTATGCACACTGGCTTTAAAACAGGGTTATATTACTTTCAGGACAACCTTCGTATATTAAATTGATATTTTCACAACTTTAGTGTTTCTGGTGTCATCTCATCGGTAGTCTTGATAAGTTTTTAATTTTTAATTATCAACTCTCCAGGTACATATTTATCAGTAGCGAAAATATTTACACTTTCACTATTTTGCATTAGATGGCGCCACAAATTCTACAAAAATATTTAGGATGTTATACGTAGTCTACTCACAAAGTTCTTTATTAAAATTTTAATTTTGATATTTAATTTGTTTAATCAATTTTTAGGCAAAATAAGTTCGTTCTCGTATTAAATGACCAGATCAAATGAAAGGCACATAGTGTCTTTAAAACTAAAAAATATTGTAAAAGTTCTTCGTGGCATTGATTAAATGTACACACGCATTTTGGGTAAGATCGAGCGAGCCTTAAGATCAAGAAAACTTCATATTTAAAACACGTAGATTTATTTATAAAATAACCTTTATTCTATCTTTTTCACATTTAAAATAAAAATAAACACGCTCCAATAAATTATGTTTTTAAAACTTATTGCAAGAAATAAAACATACATATATACCTACAAAAAGGTAACTTATTCATTTAATATGAACATAATAGCAACAAAATCTAACAAAAATACAACGCATTGTATATATATTATATAATATATATAGGTAACTCTTCTAAAATTTNTATGTAGTTAATATAATCATTGCCAAAAATTAACAAAATTATTACTAACGGTTTCATAAAAATTATATTTAAAATCACAAATAAATTAATATTATCACTTTGTACTTATTAACTTATTATCACAATTAAAATCTATTGTAATTATAGTTTATCAGTATAACATGTAATCACTCTGCATTAATATTATCAAACGCCTACATCAGAACTTTATCCCTGTTTAACTTCTGCATTCTTATCAGTCTTAAGTGCATGCGCAAGCATGTGTTTTTTTAGAGGAGATCTTTGCGAAAATTTTCGCAAACAAATTTTACATTCGTATGGTTTTTCCCCCGTGTGAACGCGCATATGTAGATCGAGATGGTGTTTCTCTGGAAACCTTTTCTGACACACTTGACACTCGTACGGTTTTTCCCCGGTATGGACGCGAACATGACTAGTCAAATTCGATTTTTTGACAAAACGTTTGCCGCAGATCGGACATTCAAATGGACGTTCGCCAGTATGCAACATTTCATGACGCTTCAAACCACCTCTGAAAGTTAGAAAACTAAAATAAGTTAAATAAAAGAAATAATAACTAAATACAAATTAGCAATGCTTATTAATAACATTAACATTATTCCAACACCAAAAAAGGAACAAAAAGGGATAACTGAACCCCCATCACCCTCTCCAAGTTTCAAATACGTCACCAAAATTAACGCACATTATATTGATACATAATTTTTAATAAATTACGTTAACAATACGTGAATAATAGTTTTCGTTATTGGCTAGTCAAGTGTACTACTCTTACTTACTTCTGAGTAAATCTTTGCCCACAGGTTTCACACTTGAATGGCTTTTCTCCCTTGTGAGTCGCTAAATGTTTTCTCAAGTATGATTTACTAGTAACGGTTTTGTGGCAAATGTCACACTCAAACTTTTCCTTGGTTCCCTCGTGTATTCGAATATGGTTCAAGAGGTAGGATTTTTTTGTAAAACACTTACCACAAAACTCGCATTTAAAATTCTTTTCTGGTACATGAGTTTGAAGGTGTGTGTTCAAATATTTCTTGTGAGCAAAAGATTTGTCACAAGCTGTACATTTGAAAGGTTTAAGATCGGTATGTATTTTAACATGAACACGAAGCTGATTTTTATTGGAAAAACATTTTTGGCACTCAGCACATTCAAAGGGTCTTTCGCTCGAATGACTTGTAATGTGTATATCCAAAGTTGTCCTACAAAAAATGACATTGCAATCATTTACATTTTCTAAAATAAACTAAAGTAAATCAGAATAGTCGAAAGCATTCTCCAAGGAAAATATTTTGCCATTTTGGGAAAGAAAAGCAGTGGAACATACCTAAATTACATTAAATAAATTGCATGTATTTTATTTTTGAAACAAGCAAATAAACCTTTTTCTCAAGTTTATTCAAAAGCATAATTAAGAAGTAGGAAACTGAAATATTTACTGTGATAAAAATTTCTTCCCACACATATTGCACTCGAAGAGGTTCTCTCCTGTATGAGATCTCAAATGAATTTCAAAATAATTTTTCCCCCTAAATTGCCTATCACAATATCCACATTTATAAATATTAATTTTTGCATGTGTATGCCTATGAGCTGCAAGGGTATATTTGCTAAGGAAGTTTTTGCCACAAATATCACATTTCTGAGACTTATCTTCCACATGTTGTTTCAAATGGGTTTTAAGTAGGTATCTAAAATCAGTAATAAAAAGTTGTAATGTTTTCCTTTTTCATTTTAGCATTCACAGACAACCTTTCTGGAAATGTCCTTAAACACCATTTACACATAAAAGGCCGGATACCACTATGACTATTTAAATGAGCATACAACTTCGATTTCTGATGAAAGCTTTTGCCACATTCTTCACACTTATGAGCTTTTATTTCGGAGTGCAGCTGCAGGTGAGCTTTTAAAATAGCTTTTTGTGTAAATTGTTTATGGCATATTTCACACATAAAAGGTCTTTCTCCAGTATGATTACGTAAATGTAATCTAAGATAATGCTTTTGAAAAAAGCCCTTGTCACAGAATGGACATTTATGCGGTTTGTTATTACTATGGACTAAAACATGAACATCCAATTTGGATTTTTGATTAAATGTTTTATCACATTGTCCACATTTATATGGTTTTTCGCCTGTATGAATTCTAACGTGACGTGTGAAGTCTCCTTTATTAGCGAAGTTTCTTTCGCAGAATTTACACTTATGTATCCTTCTATCGCTGTGAACTTCCAAGTGATTACTTAAATCTATTCTTGATGAATAGACTTCAAAACAAAATTTACATTTAAATTGTCTCGACTTAACATAAGTAAAAGTAGTTAAACTCGTAGTACTAGTATTGCTTATTTTAAGTTCGATTTCACCGTCAAAACTATTATCTTCAACTTCCTTTTTTATAGTAGTTTCTTCTTTTATATTGTCTAAATTTAAAAGTTTATTAGCATCCTCATCAGAAAAACACCATGTTCCGCCAATATTGTACTTATCTTGTAATAATTCACTTTTCACCGTTAAACCAGATGATTCTACTTGTAAGGACATAACTCACTCGTTATTTTTACAATTTGTTATTTAACACTAAAAATCGATTTATTTATTAAGAAAAACATAACCTCTTCGTAACCTTTTCTATTGTCATTTCAAAGTCATTTTCAAAATGTTTTCAACTTTTTTATTTACAATTTACAGAATAAATGATTATTCGTCCACCTATAATGTTTAATTTTAATTTAGTAGACAAATGGTTAAATCCCATCAGATAAAATAACAGTCGTTCCGTTTTGTTAATTACTACTATGCATATACTGGCACAATGTTCCTTTAAACAGCTATTTAATACATCTACAAACCTTTTACAATTTGTTTTTTTCTGTATTTTAAAATTTTTTGTAAAAAACTATTATTACAAAATTATAAAGTATCAGTTTATTTTCAAAATGAATTCATTTTAAATAAAGTAATCCAACCAATCTTGAAGGCAAATAACATATGATTAAAATGTATAAATAATTTTTTTAAACTATTATCAGGCCTATTTTATTTTGAACAATCTTGCACTTGTGATGGTATTGTAATGATTTAATGGATTAATCTATTTAATATTTCTTACTCCAAGCGTTTTAGTAACAAATTATATTTTGCCTATAAAGAATTTGAAAAATATTATTTTAAAATTTTTTTTCTAGAAATGAGATACTTGTTGAAAACTAATTAGAACAGCAAAATTTGTTTTTTAACAGTCACCAGTCCTAAGGATGGCCTTTTAAAAAAGTTTGGGGGAAAATTTCACAACAGATATATCTTATTTGTCTTATAAAAAATAAGTTTATGTAAATATCTTTATTAGAAAATATTAAAGAAATCTTACATTATTTAACAAACAGTGTAATTTAAGCAAAATTTTCTGAAAAAAAGGCAGTGTTAATTTCTAAAATTTTTTTACATGTATAAGTACATGTATATACATAATATTACAAGTATTATCAATATAAATCAGTGAGTAGTAATAGTTACAAAAAGTACGTAAATGCATAGACCTGCAGTATAATAAATAACATTTGCACATATGTATGTATAATAAATTCCATGTTGAATTTATAAAAGTGAGAGTAAAGTTCAAAGTATAATATTTCCAAAAATTTCATAGCAACCCAAAAAAAGTCATCCTTAAAGCTATCATGCCAAGAATCTCACTCATTTAGTATTTGGTAGTTTCACAATTATTCAGTCAGCTTTCCTTGGCTTTCGTTTTTTTACTATAGGACTGGAAGAAGTACTTTTTTCAGAATTGTCCTTTTCACCTGCATCACTTTCATTATCTGTTTCAGATCCAGACAGCTTTTCTTTGTCCGAGCCCTTTACATCATCAACAAGGTCATCTTTTATATCCTCATCATCCTGTAAGAAAATTAAAAATTTAACAAATTTTATATCATTAAGAAAGTAATCATACAAGCTCATTGTCACTGTGGGACTGTTTCTTATCATTCTTGTCTTGATCTTTATCTCTAGGTAATTTGGTATAACTTGCTCCTTTTGGTGGATAAACAAAATCAATAACACAAACAAGAAGCTACAAAAATGTTTGTTAAGTTAAAAACGAAAATACTACTGTATCATTAATCATTACCAGTCCAAGAAACGCTCCTAGAATTATTGTTGTAAGAGCAAAAATCATATAGGAACCCCAAGTTGGCAAGCCAAATTCTTCCATAAGATAGTTGTGAACAGTCTTAAAACGATACATTGCATATAATTAAAAATTATATTAAAAATAATAAATAATCCTTATTTAAGTAATCAAATGTTACCTACCCTTAGGAATTGCGACAGTTTAAAGAAAGAAGCCACAATAGACATCTGAATAGTATCTGGAGCTTTCCAGCTAGGAACCGGGTCAACAGATTTCCATTTCTTTTCTTCTATAAATGTAATAAAAGAATCTTTGTCCCTTGCTCCTTTGTATTGTCTAAACTCTCCATTAATAACACTAAAATAAGAAATAATGGATTCATTAGAGCATTTAAACGTCTTTCTTGTCGTCACTGGAACTTACTGAAAAATTGTAGGTAAAGCAGTAACTACAAATCTGCCACTCAAACCGGGTGCTGTTGTGACATCGACTTGACCAACTTTAATTTCAAGTTCTCCAGACCATGAGGCAAACTCTTTCCAGACAGGCTGCAAACCCTTACATGCAGGACACCATGGTGCATAGCTACATATGAAAATTATTTAATTGTGGATAAAAGAAATAAAACTATGCGATTATCTAGTGACCGGCTTCCCTTATCACTACACTTAACCTAAATATTGGGCAAAAACTTACAACTCAACCATCCATTCACCACTTAACATATCAGTCCAATTATTTTCATTTAAAGTAATTATATGTTTTTCGGCATTTCCTAATAAAAAGGCACAAAAAACTACAAAAATTGTCAAATATTTTGTCCGTGACATCGCCATACTTCTTGTTAAAAAATTTTGATTTTATGTTTTTCAAGTTGTCTTAGAAACTCAAGGTTATAAGTAATTAGACTGTAAGAATTTATATTCTTAACAAACCTCATAGTACTGTCAATCCTTCTGTTCATTCACAGTCTAATGTTTTCCGGGTAACTACTTCCCATTTTAGGAATTTCTAACTTGTTAAGTTGTACAACCGTAGTATTTTTTTTAACTAATGAAACTCTAACCTAAGTTTGCAGATGTTAAAGAATGGGAATAAATTTTATTTTTTAATTTATTTAGTTCATAAATAAAAAAGTTGTATCAATTTCAATTCACGATGAAAACTAAATTAAAAAAGGAAAGACCATTTCGAAATAAAATAAAAGTGAACAGTAGTGTAGACTCTGATGACTTTGAACAATCAAAAAAGTGGTATGAGGAAGTAAGTTTGAAAATATTTTATTTACTTTTGTTAGTACATTTATAATATGGTTAATATGTCTTAGATACCAGAAGAACCAAGACAGTTTGATAAAGTAACAGACGAGCTTCTAATTACTTTAAAAGATGAAGCTAAAAAATGCTATGATAGTGACTCCTTAACTTACAGTTCAAGTAAGAGAATGCATTTTGTTAAAGTGTAATAGTAAACTATTAAATTGTTTTTCTTTTAGAAAATAGGAAAAGTAGCTCAGATTATCAATGGATTAAAACAATATTGTCAAAAGGGACTGCATCTGATAAAATTGCTGCTTATACTGTATCAATACAAGATGATCCCTTACATAACTTAGAAAATATAAGAAATTTAGTTAATATGGTTAAGGTATCAAAGAAAGAATGCAACCAACTAATAGGTATAGATTACTATTAAAGTAATATAGTACTATAGTATTTACATGGAATTGTTTTGCAGAAGTTTTATCAGAGCTTTTTTTAAATAACCTTCTTCATCCTAGTAGAAAACTAAGACAATTTCAAGAAAGACCATTAAGTCTGTTAAACAAATTGTCATCTGGAAATGCTATTACCAGAAAAAAGTATCTTTGTTAGTGGTATTTTGGAGATCATTTGAAAAAAGCGTATACAACTTATGCAATGTCTCTGAATAAAATTGCTCATGATACCGTAGATGCTAATAAAGAAAAGGCTATAGGAGCTATGTTTAAACTGTTAGCAGAGAATGCTGAACAAGAAAAGGTATTCCTTTTCCGTATATTATTTATGTGAACTTTTAAAAATATTTATTTTTTATACAGAATTTACTAGCTTATATTGTCAACAAACTTGGGGATCCCTCTCAGAAAGTAGCCTCCAAAGCCATATATTGTCTAACTCAATTGTTACGAAAGCATTTAAATATGCAAGGAGTAGTTTTATTGGAAGTTGAAAAACTCCTTTTCAGGACAAACATTTCAAAAAGGGCTCAATATTATGCCCTTTGCTTTCTCTCTCAATATTACTTAAGTCATGATGAAAGTGAAATAGCAAAGAGACTTATAGAAGTTTATTTTTCCTTTTTCAAAGCTTGTATAAAACTGGTAAGTTATATCTATTGTCTATTTGAAAATGTATTAAGAATGATTTAATCAATCTTTAAAGCTAATAATATCTAATAAAGAAGTGTAATGTAAAAGCAAATTATTAATTAACTTTCTTAGGGTGATGTAGATAGTCGCATGATGTCTGCTCTTTTGATTGGTGTAAATAGAGCCTATCCATATGCAAAATTAGAACTGAACAAAATATCTGAACATGTTGATGCAATGTATAAAATTGTGCACATTGCAACATTTAATGTAGCTCTAAATGCACTTGCCTTACTGTATCAGGTATCAGATTACTGTGATGTTATCAATGACAGGTAGAGTTAATGATATTATTTATGTAACTAATCAGCGCTTAAATTGTTATAATAAATTTCAGGTTTTATACCGCTCTGTATAAAAAGCTATTAGATCCTGAGATTTGTCAAACTGCTCATCAAGCAGTTTTATTGAATTTGATTTATAAAGCGCTCAAAAAAGACAAAGAGAAGAACAGAGTGAAAGTCTTTATCAAAAGACTTTTACAGGTATGTATGTTTGTATAAAATACACATGTATAGAAAGTTTTAAAAAATAAACGACTTTTTAATATGCACTATTTTAACCTTTTAATTCCAGATTGCCTTATACATGGTGCCATCAATGGCATGTGGTGTGTTGTATTTGGTGTCAAATTTAATTTATGAATCATCTCTTCTAAAGGCATTTGAATTAAAGCACTGTATTCTAAATGAAGAAGACGACGAAGAAGAAAAATACATGGATGTCAAGGATCCCGATGAGAAAGAAGTAGAAAAGGTGAATTAAAAACAAAAATTTGGATTTGTGTACAATTTCTTATCATCACATACATTACGTTAATAATCTATTTTAAATTTCCATATTAACCATTCACAGCCACTGTAGTGATTATTTATTATATATTTTCTCTACTTAAAACAAATTCTTTGTTAGATTAGGTAATGTATTTTTTTAATAAGTATTTATTGTGTTTAAAGGACCAAATTGAAGAGGAAATTAGTGATATTAACACCACAGAAAAAGAGAACATTGAAGTAGAGAAAGACATACAAGATACAAATAATAGCGATATTCAAGAAACGATTGAAAAAAGTAAAGCAGTTACAAGTTGGGTTTACCAAAATAAAAGTTCCAATAACAAGATAAAAAATGTAATGAGTTACGACGGTTTCAATCGTAATCCATTATATGCTGGAGGAGAATTTTGTTCATACTTGGAATTAACTTTACTAGTTAACCATTTTCACCCAACTGTATCACTTTTCGCGAAACAAATTTTAAATGGTTAGTATGCTATAAAGTGGTATGTAAATTAATTAAAAAACTATGCAATTGGAAAAATGGGGAGTTGCTTTTCATTAAAACCTTTTAAAACTCTTCATTTGCAAAGAAACTACTACAAACTGCACATAAAAAAGCATTTTTTTTACTGCTCTTCATTGTTTGATATTTTTGGTTAGTTAATATTACATTAGAAGTAATTTGATGTTCATTTTATAGGCGAAGTAATTAAATATAGTGGCGATCCCTTGAAGGATTTTACTTTGATAAGGTTTTTGGATCGTTTTGTGTTCAAAAATCCAAAGAAAATGGAAGATATGGAGAAAAAGGGATGCCATCCTACATTTGGTAAACGGAACACTTATTTGCCTAAAGGAATCAAGTCGATTTCAATTAAATCTGACTCATACCTAAATCAGAATGAGAAAAATATACCTGTTGACGAGCGCTTCCTGTTCCTGTGAGTGATTTTTTATTTCTTATTTATTTCTTAGAACTCAAAGCAATAAAAGTTATTTTCTAAGCATAACAAGTTTCATATTTAATTAGTGTTTGATCTTTGACCAAGTGCAATTATTTAGATGAGAATATTTTCTTTTCCCAATCTGCTTCTCCATTTTACTATCTGGATTGATTATTGATCTGATTATTTGACCATGAATATGCTCATCATCTAGGATAACAAATTTTCATTAACCTTTTCACCTTTAACTAATCCTCCACTACTCGTTTCGTTTGACTAATTATATGCATTTGTTATATTATATAATCAGCTACCTTCAAAACAAAAAGAGCAAAAAACTGGAACGTGAAGATAAAGAACAGGAAAGTGATGTTGAATCTGTAGGAAGCGAAGAATTTGAAGAAATGTTAGGGAAAATGTCAGACTTCAAAGGAATAGATGATGATTTAGATTATATGAATGATATTGGGGAAAATTTAAAAAAGAAAGGTAATTTTTTGACCATTTTTCATATTCATGACATGTATTCATACGAAAATTTACTTAGGAAAAAAAAATAAAGATGAAGATGATTCAAATGATGAAGTTAATTCAGAAGATAAAATGAGCGACGACGATTTTGCAAAAGACGATGAAGATATGGATTTGGACGTTGAAGACTTAGATGACGATGATAAAGGTATTAATGTTAAAAAAACGCTTGTGATTGTGTATTTTATAACAAATTAATTTTTAGAATTAATGGATGGACTGTCGGATGATGAAGACGTAAGTGATATAGAATTTAACTCTGATGATGAGGTTTCTAAAACTGATAAAAAATTAAATATGAAGAAATTGAAGAACGATATAACAAATATATTTGCGTCTGCTGACGAGTTTGCTTCAGTGTTGGAAGAAGAAGGAAGTTCAAAAATAGCACCAGGTAGTGCTCAAGCTCTATACAACAAAGATAATGCAGGTACATAAAAAGTTGCTGTTAACGTGTTGATTTTTTTAATTTATAACAAATTGCAATGCATATTATTGCAGATACGAAGCAATTAACATGGGAAGTAAATAGGAATCGCTGGATTAAAGGTTTTGATAAATATGTGGGAAATAAGAGGAAAAAGCCGAACAAGTATAAAAAGAGCAAAATATTGAAGAAACAATAAAATATGTAATTGTATAATATATTGTTCTCTGTTAATAATATACATTTATACTCTAATATTTCAGTATTTTCGTTTCAATCCTGTAAGATACCATGGTTTGTATCTGTGAGTTATCAGTTTCTCAGTTGGTTACTACATTAAAGACCATGTAGCTCTTCAAAACAATGAGGGCCTTTTTAATTAAATAAAAAACATTTAAAATAAATAAGTTAAGGCAAACATTAACTTATCCATATTTATATTATAGTAAAGTAATGCATTAAAAATTACATAAGAAATGTACAAGATTTAACATACTGCGCATTTGATTTCATGCTAATTAAACATAAGTATATGAAAGGTCTTCTCTATTTCGTTTCACTGAATCCATTTAGTCACGGTTTTTTTACTATCTCTACTTATTTACACTTACTCAAACTTTTCTGCACATATTTACATCACAAGATCTACAAAACAATTTCTTTTAAAAGTTGCATTATAAATACAGTTATATGTTATGGTTTCTTTAAAGTTACGGCATTTACTTCGATTATTTGAATTAAGGCATGTCAAGAATCCAAATAGCAACTTAAGCTGATGACTGTTTATAGTTTTTCGTACTTAGCAATTTTTTGCCACACATTGCACAAATCCCTTTCTTGTATGCACAAGCTTGGCAGTAATGAGATCCTACCTGATGTACTTTTTGTCTGCATATCCTATAAACATATATCACGAAATAAAACTAATGGCCACTGTTTTAGAACGACATACAAACCTGCATTTCTCAAAGGATGATGTATAAGGATTAAATCTGTTTCGACCTGATGTTAAAGCTTTATTTTCGTTTACTGTTCTTCCTCCGCCTTCCGTGGTATTTCGGGCACCACTTTTCCAAGGATCTGGTGTGATTACTTTTCCTAATTTCTTTTCACACTTTTCACAAACCATTTTCTAAATCTTGTTTACTCCACTAAAAAAACCAAAACATAACCTTCTACCTGATGCTAGCGTCATAGATAATCGAATGACACTTGTGATCATAGAATACGATTATCAATTGATGTTAATCAGGTCAAGTTGCAAAGAAGCACAATTTAGCCATAGAGCAGCCATTGATATTTTTCTCGTCAGAGTCGTTTGTTTCGAGTTGATCATCTGTATACCCCAGTATACCCACAACAGAGGTGGATGAAACACGTGTTCGCAGTGTACATGTTTTATAGGAGCTTGGGTGAGTTTTTTGGTTTATTTATTTACAATACCTGTTACCTTTAAACGGAAAAAAGGGAACTGAAATTAACATACATACCTAGCTTATTATCTGTATACACACAACAGAGGTGGATGAAACACGAGTTCGTAGTGTACATGTTTTATGGTAGCTTGGGTGAGTCTTTTTGGTTTATTTATTTACAATAACTGTTACCTTTAAACGGAAAAAAGGGAACTGAAATTAACATACATACCTAGCTTTTAATCTTTATCTGATAGGCTACTGTATATTTTGGTAACAAGGCTCTACTAAATAGTTGTGACAATTAAATCGTTTTAAACAAAAATTGATAAATGTTTTATTAAATAACTTTTGTATTACAGATACCAATAACATAATAGTTTTTTACAGGTAATGAATTTATTCACATAAATCCAAAATCTAGAATAACTTGACGTTAAAAGATTAAACAAAATGTATAGTATTCGTGTAATAAATTCACAAATTATAAAGAAATACTTATAACGGTTTTTATAAATATAAAAAGTTTGACTTGTAGATAACTTGGCACATTTTCAGGTCTGAGTAGGATAAGGTACCCAAT